AAAAAAAAACATTAATTTAACTTTAGATAATTCTGTAAAACATTTTCACCTCCACTCAACTAATTTGTAGCAGTCAATATTTCTGAGATGAGGTATTATGTACACTATTTACATTATTCAGGCTATTGTCCTCATCTTTGTCACCATATTTATTACAATGTTTCGGCCCTTCAGTATCTGTCTATATTTCTGAGATGAGGTATTATGTACACTATTTACATTATTAAGACTATTGTCTTCATCTTTATCGCCATATTTATTACTATGTTCTGTCCTTCTTCAGGTGGTTGGAATGTCGAAATGAATACAATATGGGAACCAGTAATAAGGAGTGCCAGAGAAAAGCAATAATAACAAAAATTGCAATATGAGCTCTGGTAAAAAAACATACAATGATAACAGTAAAAATTGCAATATGCGCACTGGAAAAAAATGATTACTGAAGACATTAGGTTTATACTACCCAGAAACTCATACACAGATATCCTCAATGACACATGGCACAGTGGATAAAGGTGTTAGTTAAATCCAGTGACAGGACCCAAAGAGTCTGAGTTCAATACCTGGTTAAATTATTTGTGTGCTTTCTTAAAAAAAAAAAAAATTATTTTTAGAAGCCAAGATTACATTTATTTTAGGTTTTCTTTAAAAGTAAACATTAATATTTTTCTAACTTAAAACTGAATTATGAAAAGGCAGATATAATTTTGTTCTATTCAAACATGATAAATTTCTAAAAATAAAAAAATTTAACAACATGAAATATTTCTAAAATATGCTTTCAAAAATTGTACACAAATTAAATATTACTATTTGTTGTAAACACTAGGTTAGTAATATATTAATATAATTTTTCCTTTTATTTTTTTTTAATCAATTCTGCACAAGCATGGTAACACCAAGATGAAAGAGGTTACTGTGAGTTAAAGAGAATGAAAAGACTTTAGAACAATGTGGAAAACCACCAATTCTAAACAGGAAACAAAGGATAAAACTTGACTCTTGTTCAAAAAACAGGGGAGGAATGTGAACCAGACAATAGACAAACCTATCTATACCTATTTAAATATATATAAGGCTAATATTAAGATGAATGCCTGTGTTAACGATGCAGACAGTTTTGTTCTACTGATGTAATGTGGTGGGCACATAGATGAATTTCTAAAAAACGATTAATCCTAAAATCTATAATTTATAGATGACTTTTTGATAATTTTCATTTCAGATATTAAAGCTACAATATTCAAAAATATTTTCATATGTCTTGCTTATTATAAAAACTTACTGTGTGATAGCACCAACTAATTTAAATTTACATATGTATAACAGTGATGAAGAGTGACTTGGAAACCAAAGCATGCAGTCCATGATACAGCAAATTGCCAAGAGTGTGTGGCAGTGGAGGTTATCCACCCCATCTATGAATGTGATATGAGCTAATTTTAATATGAGCAAATGCACTTCTACCAACAGGCCATGCTTCAAGTTTGATATCCCTCTTCACTGGACTTGATGTCCCCACCATTAGTAATACCCTGGCAATGGCTCGCTTTGTTCTGCACTATAATAACCTGTAGCTTATTCTGCAACTATGCTGAGCAGACCATAGTTACAGTTTCTAGGGGAGAGCACATTATCTGGCATAACAGTCTGAACAATACCAAATACGCTCAAAGCCTTGGTCACGGTGACTTGTGACTTTGTGCTCACAAATAGTTCCATCTGCCAAACTTCACTCACAAGGCTTGGGTCAACCAGTGGTATGGTTTTCAGGCACTTTCCAAAGATGCCACTTGCTGGGGTCGCCCTTCAGATCACCTTCCTGAAAAATTGATCCTGGTAAGAAAGCAAACATTCTAACCATTCGGCCATGTGCCCATTACTCAACAAAGCAATGATCTTTTTCTGTCAATTTTTGGTTAATAAAATAAAAAAAATTTAAATGATCCATAAACAAACAGCATTTGCATTATGTTTTCTACTTAAACTAAATTGAAAATACATGGGAGAATTAAAAAAAAAAAATGATAGACAATGATTTTAGTCACAGATGGAAAATGAATGCATAGAGCATAGAGCTGCTAAAAGTTAATCTGAAGAGAAAAATTATGAACATTTTCATGTCAAATTATTTGAGCTCAGTTATTGCATATCTCATTTACACTGAATCCAAGTACACACTACCTTTTCCAGGGATGGAACTTGTAATTACAATATTACCAAATTCACAAACCAACATTAATTTGCTAGGCTGAATACTCTGAAGGTTACCCAGACTGACAAACACCTGATGAAGGCTAGAAAGCACAATAGATTAAATGTTGTGGTAACAAGTGTTATCCTTATATGAAAAACAATTTACATTAAGCATATCTTTCACACAGAACAGAATTTTAAAAAGAATACAGAATTTGAAAAATTAAAAACTTTTAATACCGTCATCCTCAGGTACCATCAAGTTTTGTAACTACTAATAGTCTTTTTGTTTTTCTTTTTTTTC